TGGATTTTACTCGTACGTATAGAGCTATATCATCTGCGTATTGGAGAGTGTTGCAAAAGCAATTTGTGGAAAGCTCCATATCATGCGTGTATAAACTATATAAAATAGGACTAAGGACTGATCCTTGAGGTAACCCTTTCCAGACCGTCCTTGCCAGTGAATGATTTTGATGCCTTATCAGGATGGATCTAGTTGTGATTGAGTTGCAAATGAACCGAACTAATTTCTCAGGAACACTCAGCTGATGCATTTTATGCCTGAGCACTGGAATAAGGACATTATCATAAGCAGAAGCAACATCTAGAAAGACACCAAGAAGGTATTCTTTGTTTTGAAATGCTAATCGAATATCCGATGTTAATAAACTTAAACTGTCCATGGTACTAAAGCCCTTTCTGAAACCATATTGAGATTTAGCAATGATATTACGGCTTTCCACAATCCATTCCAGGCGGTTTTTAATCATGTGTTCCATGATTTTTAGGAGGACAGATGATAGGGCAATAGGGCGGTAGGAAGAGTGATTAGAGGGATCTTTCCCTGGTTTGATTAAAGGGATGATTATTTGCTTAGACCACTGAACTGGGATGGAACCGGTATCGTAAAATGTATTAATCAATTTTAAATAATATTGTTTTATTTTGTCGGAGGCTCTTATCAGGAAAGAGTATGGAATGCCATCCAAGCCTGGAGAAGTATCCCTTAAACCAGAAAGAGCTTTTTGGAGTTCTTCAAATGAAAAGACCTCATCCAAGTTGTCTTTAGAGGACAGAGTAACATGTAGTTTCACAGGAAGGCAATCAAAATTTGGGGCAAATGGGGGGGCTAATTTATCGGCAAATAGATCGATCCAGATAGAGGGATCATTAGCCGTCAGATTCGCACGATTGCGAGCCCTACGGAATCTTTTTAATTGTTTCCATACTATTGTCGATGGAGTGCCAGGAGCCAACGATTCACAAAAGTTAATCCAACCAATTCTTTTTTTGTATTTAAGCATCTTTTTGGTTTGAGCCGCGACTCGCTGGTAAGCTACAAAATTATCCATGGTCATGGCGTTCCTGTAAGTTTTCTCAGACTCTTTACGTTTTTTGATAGCTTCTGAGCATTCAGAGTCCCACCAAGGGGGGGGAACTTTTTTACGAATGTTGTTTTTCTTCGGAATACTGGTTTCAGCAGAGTCTATTAACATCTCAGTAAACATGTCGTAAGCCTTTTGATGATTTTCTGTAGTAATTGGAGGAAGTGAAATAGAATTGCTGTCCAGCGTTCTAGTATAGGCCGACCAATCAGCTTTGTGTAACCTAAACTGAAGTAAGGGGGGGTGGAGATTGGTAGGGGAAGTGTGATCTAATATCGAAATAAGAATTGGAAAATGATCACTGCCATGTGTGCTGTTTAGCACATTCCAGGCCACATCGGATGCCAAAGAAGGGGGGCAAATCGTGAGGTCTACTGCTGATGGATTTTGGTTAGGGCGAGTCCTCCTGGTGGGACTACCATCATTGATAACACAGAGGTCTCTATCGTCGATAAGATCTAGAAGTTGATAACCAAGCGAGTCATTAGTATACGAACCCCATGAAACATGGTGTGCATTAAAATCCCCCATTATTACTATGGGTGAAGGGAGGGATGATAAAATAGAGTTTAATTCTTGTATAACTAAACTATGCGTTGATTGCGGGGGAATATATATTGAGAGGTAAGATATATTTGAAATTCTTGCAGCTACTGCATTAATACAGTTGTTGTGTGTCAGGTTAATTTGATTAAAAGGAAGAGAGTAACTAACCAACAGAGCACTTCCACCATATCCATCAGCTCTGTCATCCCGGAGACAAGAGTACCCTGAAACACCAAAGGTGTTACCAGGCACCAACCATGTCTCCGATAAGGCAAGAATGAACGGAGAGAACTTATTAATGAGACAATTTAATTCGTAAGTTTTGGGTACTATACTACAACAATTCCACTGAATTATCTTCGCCATTTTTATTATTGTAAATAAATTTATTAAGTTGACTTATTCTATGTGCAACGTTGGACGGTATAGGAATATCATCAAACCTGTTAAGAAGGCTGAAAACAAAGGACAAAAGGGCATCTAACAAGTTATCATTGGGGGTGGTTTCAGAGAGGATAGTTGAGTTATCATTGTTAAGGGCACAACCATTAGGGAGCAAAGATGGGCAGTTTTGGACAATAGTCTGATGAGCTATTCTATCAAATCCAATATTTGAAGGAGCTCTAGGTTTGGGGGATTTGGTAACCAATTTTTTATATGAGGATGAAGGACTTAAGGCCTTGGGAGAGGATTGGAGTTGAGGAAGGGATGTAGCTTGGGTTGGAGATTGGACGACATCAGCATAAGATCTCCTTACCGAGGGGAATCTTTCTGATGCCTCTTGGTAGGATATGTTGTCTTGAGACATTGATATTTTAATAGATCTTTGCCTAGAATGTTCTGGACAGTTCTTATTAGATGCAAAGTGGCATCCTGAGCAGTAAAGGCAGGTTGCCTTTGATTCTTCTACCATACAAGACTGACCTGAGTGTGGTTGTGCACAGCGGAAGCAACGTGGCTTGGATCGACATTGGGGTTTAATATGTCCGAACCTGCAGCAGTTCATGCATTGAATAGTTGGGAGTTGGTATGTCTCTACTGCCAAGGATGTATGATATACAAATATTCTATTAGGGAGAACCTGCCCTTGGAATGTGAGAACAACTGTTTGTGTGGGGACCCAGGATACTTGCCCTTCAGAGATTGACTTTCTGTTAAGTCGTCTTGCTTTCAGAACCACTCCACAGTTAACGGGAACAACTAAAGAATCTACAAACTCTTCCATTGATAAGTCCGAGGGAACACCTTTAACGATGCCCATGCGAGTAATGTTGTAGTTGGGAATTGTAGCACTGTATTTATATATTGATAAAAAAGGGTTTTTTAAGAATTGATTAGCGTCAGTGTTGGTTTTGAATTCCACAGATATCCTGTTACGACCTATCTTTTTTATACCGTCATTCAATATGTTTTCAACTTTGTTTTTAACTAAAAATTGCCCAAATTTGATAGGGTGAATAGATGTGCCAGATGAAAGATCTGTCTCAATTTTAGAAACATGTATAATGAATGGTCCCTTATCACTGTTTAAATATTGTTTATTTGACTGATTTAAAAAGGGATGGGTGTATATGCCAGGAGAGGGGTCTAATGTGTCCGACTGACAGGACACAGTAATTATTCTTTTAGAAGGCGCGTCGTTTACCTCGGGTTCAGTATCATTACGTCGTTTGAGGCTAGTCTGGGTAAATAAAGGAGGTGAAAGTTCCATTGATGAATAATGCGTCGGAGACACCTTATGTTAGGACAAAACACAAACACTTAATTATATCGCAGTTCCGCGTAGAAAGAAGGCTTAAAATTAACAAAACAAACGAAATCCCTTAAACACGTGTAATAACAAACACTAATGAGGGCAGAATCCTCAATTGTCGTTTTCACTACGGGTATCTCTCTGTAAGTTAACTGTCACTGTCACTTTGACGTTTGATCAGTTTCGCGCCAATTAATTCTGGACGTTGATTCTTGCAAACTATTGGAATCGATATTGAGATTTTAAAAATAATTATTGAATATTAAAAGCTTTTACATCCAGTCAGCAAAAATCTCCCAAAAATCAAGAATACATGTTTTTCGCTCCTTCACATTCATGAGTTGTTAGACCTTACAGTGCCAACCACCACTCAAAGTACTCACTAAGTATCATAGGTATGCTCGCGGTTGCCAAAGGTACCCTGGAGCTAATTGCCTAATTTAAAAATATGTCGCAATCCCTTTTAATTTGACATTTGAAAGAACTTCACCCTAGGGGTATGTTCCGATATACACTGCGAGCACTGCGCAGTGGTCTTACTGCTGAAAAATCCGTTCCGTTATGGACTGCCAGTACACTGCTACAGTACCCTAGGGAAATTCATGACGTCATAAATTGCCGCCATATTTGTACTGTGAGCACTTGAGATTTCGAGGTAAGGTGCTCGCAGTGCTTTTGATCACATGATCAGTCGAAACAGAATCTGAAAATGATAAGTTTCTAAATAAACAAAAAAAATACTTACGTTTATTATAAGATGGATAAATAATTTTTTTATACAATTTTACAATTTTATAATATTTTCTTTTGAAAAGAGGGAATCTTTATATTTATATTCACCTTGCATTAACAAATTTGAAAATGGCGCCAAAAATAGGATTAATAGTATACTGGACTGCGTTCCGTTTTAAAAAGTCACCAGTATAACTAGCTATAAAGGAACGGGCTTCCAGTATACTAAATTGACGTCATACTGTTCAGTGGTCGCAGTGTATATCGGAACATACCCTAGATCTATTTGACATGTGCTAGCGATTGCGATCGCGACTTTTGACTGAGAAATATTGAATTGGCAATGTCGTTAATTTAAATATATCAAACTAAACAGTTGTATGCCAACTGCATACTTAGAACAGGTTCTTTTTGTTTCTTGATTATTCAAATCATCATAGGGTAGTTTCGGTAGTAAAAATTAAACATGAATTGCACGAAAACCTAAATTTATGCCGTAATAAATATAGAGATTGTGCTTTTGAGTCTTATAATCACACGATTATCTTATTTTAAAGGTAAAAGTCGTGATTTATTACTGTGTGTGACGTGACTTGAAATACGATCCGTCGTGTGACGTCACAGTGGCGACGCCTGGTAGATTAGACATAAAGATGTGCCTATAAATTATAAATAAAATTCCTAGATGGCGCTATTCTTAGCTTTTTATGCCGTTTTATTTCGTAATCGATCTTTACATGGCATTTTTCTTGTATTATTTATATTTAAAGTACTAATCTTCTCAAATAATTGTATTGTGGCTTTTATAAATTAAAATAAACAGTTACAAGTATTTTGTAATCAGACAACAACCCGCAGATATTACTAACAAACAATTATTACAGAGGAACAATCCGAATGTCCAACTCAGTGCGACATAAGAAAGGTGATGGTCTGCGGCAAATGTCAGCACGGCATCTACAGGACATTCATGAGCCCTTGCCACATGAGAATGTTCCAGTGCAATAATAATGATGAAAGTAAGTTAACCTAAAACATAACTTAAACCTCCGCGCTTTTATTGTAAAACGAGTCTTATATTCATTTTATCTTTACAATAATTTGAGAAATATTTTAATGACAACGAACGAATTATGATTTTAAATTTGACAGTAGTGTCATCAACTTATCCACCAATCATGCATGTCACTGGAACACTGGCGCCTGGTGTCAATGCCCCCTTTGCCCACCTAAATCCAAGTTTTGCCTTCTTTTTTCAAAATTTATAAGTTTAAAATCTATTATGTCCAAACCTCAATTCTCCATAAGTGGAACTTGTTCGTCAGTCTAATTTGGTGTCGGATAACTTAATAATTAGAGCAGTCGCCCATATTGCGAGAGAATGGGGATCCGAATCTCATCTCAGGACACCTGGGACTGGTAAGTTTTTTAAGCACTCTTTATTAAATACCCCTATATAATTGCTTTCTAGAATTAGAACTGATGTCGCGATATCCGTGCGTGTTATCCGCGCCATACAGTCATCCTGTCAATGAACAAGTATCCGAACCGAATGATGTTGACGATATACAGAGATTCATCTACTGCAGGGAAGCGTATGAATTGGGATCTAAGACCATTAGTAAGTATTATCAGTCAGTAGTAGTAGTAGACAGTATTAGAGGCTTCAGTTACGTGGTAGTCTAATATCTTAATTTAATGGTGGAGATGTGTGGCGCAAAGAAATACTGTTATAATTCTTCAGTCTTGATGTAATTGGCGAAAAACATACATCGAATCACTTATAACTAAATGCTAAGATATTGACTCTATGCCGGTCTCTATCAGAAAGAAGGATTATCAACCAGCAAAACACGAACACGCGAATTCGAATACAGATAAAGTAATAATTTAAAATATTAACGGCCAGCATTGACCATAAACCGTCCGAAGAGTAAACCTACCTATAGTAATGTGCACGGACGTTACGATAGTCATTTTTATTAAATGAGGAAGTATTAAAAAAAAAAATTAGTTCTCGAAATCAAACTAGATGTCGCTACGGTACGTTCTTGATTTTTCCATGACAACCTTTCCGGTTTTCTTTCAAGTTTAAAAGTAAATTAGTTTTCAAAACTCAATAAACAACTCATATTTTATTTGTACTTTTTCGTATTTGTGTTAATGTTTTAGTTTCGAACTTTTCAAATTTCAGTCAATTTGGTCCATTCGTTTCCTGCAAAAATCAACTTTTGCTAGAGTCGTCATCTTGCCATTTGCTAGAGTGGAGGTGCTTTTTCTAAATACTTCCTCATTTTGGCCTTTAATTGGTGGCCGTTGCGAAATTTTCTAAATATCCACAGTAGATATATACCAATATTTATTTTATTTAGGAGTGACACAATCGCTACCTTACTGTATTTGTTTCTGTTGTGAGTTAGAATGTCTGATGTAATTGTTCGTGTACAAAATGAGTAATAACGAACTAGAGTGCAGTTATTTAGACAATAGAAACTGTTATTAGTAATTAGAGCAATATATTCCAAACCTCTTTAGTTTTCTTCGTTAGAATTCTTTAATTTGTCTTTTTTTTAATTCACAGTTGACCCAAGATGCAGTGATTTCGACATGGGCAAATATTTTGTGGAAGATCAGAACTAATAAAATATTGTCGCAATATACGATCCTTTTATTTATAATTGTGATTTTTTTGATCACCTTTTAGGATGGCACATTTTGTTTAACCGCACGCAGTTTACGTATAGCTTAAAGAACAAAACCGCAATCGAACGGCACACGTTTCCAGCCAACTAACGCATGCGCTTGTACAGTAACTTCCAAATTTAAAATATGGCCCATGGTGAATTTTCATTTGCGCGAAAGCAGCAGACAAATTCCATAAAAATCACAAATTCGAATTCACTCAGGTGGCCGTATTTACTTCGAAAACGAATACGCTTTAGGGGCCATCCATAAATTAAACTATTACTTTACAAAAACCTTGCAAAATATGTGACATCACACTAGGAGGGGGGAGTCTTACAAATGTGACCAGCTGTGACTAGGACGAGGGGAGGGGCAAAAAAATCATGAAAATCGTGTGACGTAATTTATGGATGACCCCTTATTTACATTAGTGTAGAAATTTTTGTATAAAAATACAAAACAAATTTGATAGATTCATATGTGTCACAGGTAAAGCGGATGTCTTTTTCGAAGTGATTTCGGATGTCTGATAAGCGAACGTACGATTGTTTATAATAAGTTACCCTCCCACCAAACCTGCGTGGGAGGTCAAAATTTCAATTACCACTAGCTGACCCGGCAAACATTATGCCATATAAATTTGGGGTGAACTGAGTGATATAAAATAAATAACCACCTTTTCTCAGACCTACCGAATATACATATAATAAGCCATTTCGGAGGAGTTTGTGTACGAAAGACATTTTTGTGAAGGTCGTTGTTTTTTACCGTATTATATTATGATGATTTTGGCGTCACCTTGCCTTTGGCGCCCGGAGCAATAGCCACCACTTAAACCTCTGACCGTGCAACTTCTGAGAGTCACAAACCGCCACAAATGTGGTTTGACGTTCTTACAAACCATGGTAGTAATCGTAGTGTGGGCGGAACCTTAAATCATAGAGTAAAGAGATAGACAGCCAGGGTTGTGCAATATTGCAGTTATATTCTGTCCAAAGCCACGCCCGTCTTAAGTAACAAGAACAGGCACCCGGGTACAAGCCAAAAATTTCCCATCATCGGTGCAGCACCCCCAACGTGCGGCGGTGTGTTGCATCCCCTGCACCATGGGTAAAGAGGGGCCTGCATATAGGCAAACATTTTTGGTGTGACATATTGTTTAGAAAGCCTAGACGACCAAAAAACCATTTCTGTGATGGTTAGGCAACAAAGAGAATTTAAACACTACGTTTTAGGCAAAAAGTCAGGCGACTAACTGTGCGACAGATAGCGTATTGAGGAAGTATGTAAAAAAAAAGTTAGTTCCCGAAACCAAACTAGATTTCGCTACGGTACGTTCTTGATTGCTCCATGACAACTCTTCGGGTTTTCTTTCGTGTTTAAAAGTAAATTCGTTTTCAGAACTCAATAAAAAACTCAATAAGTCATAAAAATCTCATATTCTATTTGTACTTTTTCGTATTTGTATTGATATCTAAGTTTCGAACTTAACCAAATTTTAGTTTTTTAATATGTCAGTTAAAAGGAACGGAAATGACTGTCTTTGGTCCATTCGTTTCCTACAAAAATCAACTTTTGCTAGAGTACGAAAGCACTAAAAAAGCACCTCCACTAGATGGCGTAGTGGAGGTGCTTTTTTAGTGCTTTTGTTTTCTTTTAACAGGAAGTTACAAGCACTTGTGAAAGTCGAGAGCTACGCCATCGGTTCGTAAATCTACGGCGGGAGACCTTGTACCGAGAAGAACCGGCAAGAAACTCGGCAAGGGCTGCTTTTTTCTCCCTGTTTTATTTCATACAGAGCGTCAAGATTGAAAAATGACTTCATTAAAATTTGAAGTCACTTTCCATTACAATATTACCTACAACCCTATAAGATAAGGTTCTTGTGACTGGATCATAACATAATAATTATATCTGTTATTACCATTGATTTGTGAGGAAGACATTGCACTTATAATATTGGACTTCAACTAAATAGTACAATACAAGAAGTTGAGATTCTATTGAAATGCGATTATTACCTAAATGGTATCCACCTGTGAACCAAGTTACTTATATTATTCTTCCTGTGAACCATTGGATTTCACATAGAACCTAGCTTATCAATACGTATAAAACTGTCTAATCTTACACAGATAACACACACTTATTATTTGAGGAAATTCCCGAATCCAGTATTCTAGTGTTGCCACACCATAGGTAACATTTTTTTTAAATTAAATTAATAACTTTACTAAGAACAAGATATTTATGAAAATAAAGTTGTACGCTAGCAATGTCGTTGCATGTTGTCGCTTCTGTTTTTATTTTATATAGTTGGTTTTTTTATTATGGAAAGTTAGGCAGACTTTTCATGTTTCTTTGTTGAGTATTAGTTGGTATGCCAATGACGTCAATTAGTGAATTATGCGTACCTTTGTACATAATGATAGATATCGTAAACATTTCCCCTAGGTTAAGGGGTTAGGTTCCCTATACTGTGACAAAATTGTCTAGATACCTGATGCAATAGCGATTTGTGAAAGAGATATGTAATGCCGTATTAATGTACGAAATTCTCTTTACTCGGCGACCGTGCTAGCAATGAAAGGGTTAACTTTAGATATCGTCTTAGACGTCTGTGGGGTTTGAAGTCGATTTTAATTAAGAAAAAGCTATTAGTATATTTTTCATACAAATAAAAGTAAAAATGATGTTAATACATATATAGTAGGAATGTCAACGGGATTTTATTTACTTGACGACATAATTTTTGATGTCTCATTCTTAATTTTACTTGACTTTCTCTTTTCATGACTACTAATTCCTTTGTTATGATCTTGAAATGTATTTTAAATTAATATACATACTTTTTTTAAATAAATTCAAAATATCTACCATTTATTTTCAACCTCTTTTGTGTGTGCTGTCTCATTGTATTCGGTAGTTCTCGGTCGCTCAGCTCGTCCACGCCTTTCCCGCCAAATTTTAAATTGTCGCCATCTTCGTCAGAAATATCCTCTATAAGTCTATCATCTTCCGGATGATATGGATTATTGTAAGCTCTGGAATTCCTGGAGAGGATTGGCTGATGTTCTTGTACAAGATAAATTTCACCTTTCACTTTCAGCAAGCAAGTATAAACTGTAAGCAAAAAAGGAAAGTATTAAATAGTTTTGACAGTTTTTTTTTTAATGGAACATTACGTTAAAAGGACCGCCGGTTACCGACCCCTACCTGAGGCAAATACTTCTAAATTACTCCTTATATTGTCAACAAAACTACATCATATATAAATACTTTGGAACATAGAAGTTTAGAAGCACGAGATAAATATGTAGAAGTTTCATCTATACTTATATTAAAATAGGAAAGATTTAATTGTTTGTTTGTTTGCAACGAGCTCATGGCAATTATTCATTAACCGATATCCAGATTAATTATTAATTTATTTAAGCAGAGGAGAAAATAGTCTTACTAATATTATAGAGGCGAACCGCGCAACGAACGGATTTTGATGAAAGTTGGAATGCGGATAAATCTTAGCCTTTTTTTTTCTTTTTTTTTGACGCTGAGAAATGCGTTACGCATACCCGCTTCACCCTGCGCGGGCTCCACGGGTGATGTGGGACTCCTCCTGTGGCCCCACCCCCGAAGGGGCTAGACAAGAAACAGGAGTTTACCCACTAAAACTCAGCGATGTCCCTCGCATGGAAGGCGATGCACGGGATCGGCCCGAAGGCCATACACCGCGCGGTTCGCCCCCATTTCGGCCCGCCCTGAAAAGGGCAGGTCCCGGATAAATCTTAGCCTGGATTAACATATAGGCTACTTTATGTTCCACTCAACAGTACCTCAACACTCAACAGTACTGTGGGGCCCACATATTGATAGATTGTCGAGTAGACTTAGCTCTGCAGCATATGCCGTAATGAAGATACGTAGGTTAACTGACATAGATACTGCCAGATTAGTATACTTCAGTTACTTTCATAGTGTTATGTCGTACGGTATCCTATTGTGGGGAAATGCTGCCGACATACAAACAATTTTTGTGCTTCAGAAAAGAGCAATTCGATCAATTTATAATCTTAGGATTAGGGACTCTTTAAGGGAGAAATTTAAGGAAATAGACATTATGACTGTTGCTTCTCAATACATATACGAGAACTTAATGTACGTTCGTAAAAATATTAGTTTGTTTTCTATAAAAAGTGATGTACACAATTTTAATACAAGAAATAAAAATAAATTAACGGTGCCTGTCACTAGACTGCAAAAAGTTAATAACTCTTTCAAGGGTCTTTGTGTGCGCTTCTACAATAAGGTCCCAAGCAAAATACAACAATTAGATATCATGCAGTTTAAATCTACTATTAAAAAAATACTTATTAAAAAAGCTTATTATAAGGTATCCGATTATATAACAGATAAGAACGCTTGGACTTGAGATGATCCAGCAACTGGATAGGTGCTTACTTCTAAACTCATTATCTTGTTTCCATTATTATTAAATGATTATCTTATTATTATAAGACCATAGTTTTTTTTTATCTCTGTTTATAATGTATTGATCTGGTAATGACATGGTTTTTGTAAATGTCATTACTCATATTAGAGCTGGTGAGTTTCTTGCTCGTTCTTCTTATCAGCCAAAAGACGTCCTGAACGAGTGGTAGGGAAAAAATGTTGGACGATTCAAAAGTACTTTTAAGAAGTCTATTTGAATAAAGATTATTTTGACTTTGACTTTGACTTTGACCTTAGGGACCACGTGGGCGAAGCCGCTGGCGGGCGTAGTCTATACTAATACTATTAAAGAGGAAAGATATGGTTTTTGATTTTAAAAATTCTTTCAAATACGAGAAGCTACATCATATGCGGTGGACATAGTATATATTTTATCCTTAACAGCAAATAAAAGGATGAAAATTGGTGTAGAAGTTTGTATAGGGAAGTAAAACATTACCATAGGAACCTTCGCTTACTAATCAATATCAAATTAAACATCTGACGGAAATCTAGTAAATAATATAAACCGACTTTATGTTATGTGTTATTAAGTTTGTTTTTGTAAACGGTTTTTTTTAGGTTTTAAGTAAAGTTTCAAACTTTGTTTGTTTGGAATACTCTTCGGATATAGTGATCCGATCGTGAAAATTTCTTCGCCTTCTGGAAGCTATTTCATAGGCCGGTAACATATGCTGATAATTTACACAGGCTTAGTAGCGGTAATATTGCTAGTAAAAGGTAACAAATACTCACAAATAAGAATGCATAGAAGATATTTCGACATTATTAATCTTCACTACATTTTGAATGTCGTACAACTGTAAATATACAAGTTGATTTCATCTTTGATAATATGTTGACTGCAGGCTATAAAAACATTATTGAAACACACAAAATCATTCAAACGTAACGTAACAGTAACATAACTGTTATTGCAATAAATGGAAATTGTTTTGATTTTTACTTTCATGTGTAAGTTTAACATTGCATTTTACGGTAATGTATAGACAACAGTGTCTCGAATTATACATGTTATTATCTGTTTTCACGTAATTACGATCTTTGTCATTCGCGTATCATTTAGCTTCGTGTAGGTATAAGAATTTTTTAAATCATCCCGTTAATTTTTTGCCTATTCAAAAAAAAAACATACATTTGCTCTTCAATCCAGTAAAATAGCTTTTTTTCCATTTTTAAATCAAACCCGTAATTTTTTTGCCTAATAATAAAAAAAATTTGCTATTCATTCCAGTAAAATAGCTTTTCGCCAGCGGCTTGGCCCTGTCCTTCCTCTTAAATAACTATATGATGATGAAAAACCGCATAGAAACCCACTATGTAGTTTAAATCTCAACATGCAGAGGGCGGAAACGACTTTATTTTATAGTAGCTTTCCGCCAGCAGCTTCGCCCTCGTGGTCCTCTGGTACCTAACTCATAGATCTAAACCCCCCCCCCCGCACGCGCACCCCCACCTTGGTGACGTCCACTTCGCAACGGGCCGTGCAGCAGATATCGTAATATTTTAATTTCGCCATAACTTCAAAAGCAAACGTCCAATTTTAATCATTCAAAGATGAAATATTATCTGTATAAACTGTTCTTAGTGATTAAATAATTTGTTTTGATAAGGATTAATAGCTCAAGTAAAATAAACGCGCTTAAATTTAGTTAAAATAAATCAAGTTTTATAATTAAAATAAAATGGTCGTAACTTTTCTGGTTGATTTTTTACACCTTGATTCAGAAAAACCCAAATATCTTAGAGAACCCTATATTTTTCCAAAATAAAATGTAGCTTATTTTACTTGTGGATAACGCAGCTTTCGAATGGTGAAAGAATTTTTTAAATCGGTCCAGTAGTTTTGAGCCTATTCATTCCAAAAAAATATACAAACAACGTTTTCATCTTTATAATATTAGTATAGATTATTAGAGGTGTAAATAAAACAAAACGGACAATTATTATCTTATATTAAATCGGCTAGAGCAGCTTTTTGTTTCCCTATTTTGTTTCAAACAATGTCGTGTTGACTTGTTGTATAAAAAAAGCCTATACATTTACAATAACGCACATTATATTTGTGTATCTATTTAAAAAAAAACTTGATGATAAAGCATTTAACTTTAGTCCGATCACCGAACAGGAAGAACGTACGTTGACATATTATCGTTGACAGATATCGTAAACAGATTAGGTTCACTTTACTGTAACAAAATGAGGATGTACTTAAAAAAAAAACGAAAGCACTGAAAAACACCTCCATTAGATGGCGACTCTAGCAAAAGTAGATTTTTGCAGGAAAATCTACTTTTGCTAGAGTTAAAGTTAAAGACAGACATTTCCGTTCCTTTTAATTAACATATTAAAAAACTAATATTTGAAAAGTTCCAAACTTAGATATCAATACAAATACGAAAAAGTACAAATAGAATATGAGTCGATTATTGAGTTTTGAAAACTAATTTACATTTAAACACGAAAGAAAACCGGAAGGGTTGTCATGGAGAAATCAAGAACGTACCGTAGCGACATCTAGTTTGATTTCGGGAACTAACTTTTTTTTAAATACTTCCTTATTGTTTAGATGCATCTGTGCGAGCGTAATAGCGTTATGGTTGCGGACGAATGAAAGAGACATGTAATGCCGGGTCATTGTACGAAAATCTCACGACCACGCTATATCTAAACAATCATTATTATTTTTTTAGGCATATTGACACAATTACATAAAGGTTTAAACTCGGAAACTGTACCAAAACATAATGTGTTGAAGACATTTAAGAAAATAAATGAAAAACAACACAAAAACAGTAAAAGCGATGATACGAATTTTAAAACGGCCAAGAAGAATTTAGACATCGATAGCCTAATGCAAAAAATGATGAGTTCCAAATTTTTGGATAAAATAACTAATACTGTAATGGATAAAATAATAAAAGAATACCCTCGAACTTTATATGGAGAGGATGATGGTGAATTATCAGATTCTGTGGAGAGAATAGACATACATCTGAGATGAAAATGTATTGACCTATTATATTTTCTAAAAAATCACTTTAGTTTTATAAGTATACCATATAGATTCCCAAAAAACAACCATATCAGCAAGCAATGGTTCTCCCAGTACGCAAGCTTTGTTTTCCTTATAAATAAATAACGCCGCGTATTAATTGCAAGTTCAAAAAAGTTTAAAGAAATACAAATAAGACAAATAATACAAGTTTTATGACAAAGAACAAACAAGTGTTAGCCTTTCTTAAAAATCAGATAAATACATGTTGATGTGTAACACACATAGGCTAACGTGCACACAGACACACACACACACAGACATTAATTATTAGCAATCTATTCAAGGGGGTGTCTGTCTCTCGTAACACAAGATAAACAAAAACTAAAATCTTGGCAATCGCTGCGATTATTCCTCACAAAGTCAATATTTTTTCTTTTAGAAGTGTATCAGATTCATAATATGTAAACCTTTTTTGAAAGAAATGGCTAAAAAAAACAATTGGTCCCTGGCACCCTGAGATGGGAATCGAACCCACAACCTTTCGTAATCTGGGCGACTAGTTTAACCATTGAGCAACCCAGGACCTAACAGGACTGACGAATCTTTCAAACACTTGTTACTTTTTCACTACTACAAAGCGTATTCTCATCAATGTTCAGGCAATCTAAAAAAATAAAAATAAAGAAATATTTAAACTTTCGATAAAGATGAAGATTTGTTCTAATTATTTGATCAATTTCGCAAACACAATGCTGTACTGAAAAATATTCTTAATGAAAAATGCTTAAAAGATCCACTTGGTCTTGGTTTTTAAGCATTTGTCATTGATCAAATATAAACAAAGGTTTACATTTTAAACCTTTGTTTATATTTTTGAGGAAATAAACAAAATTTATTATTTATTTTATTTGGCTACTCCAAAATATTAACCTTTTAAACAGTACCATAGATAAATAAATAAACATGACAGCAATACATATTAAGGTTTAATCCTTCACACAATATATCAAATCGTTTCGTTTATTTCATAAACGTTATTTATATCTACCGTTTAGGTATTTGCTACCCTATTTATTGTAGGTTGTAACACCTTTCCATAAGTTGTATTTGTAAAAAAAACTCTATGGTAATAAAATACCCCAAAATCTCACGTGACATGACGTAAGTTCAAATAAGGCTGTCTGTTAACTGTCTTGTTCTATAATCGATTAGAAACTTATCGATAAGGGTAATTTTTTTTTTGTTCTTTACATTCATAAAAAACGTGATCAGTTCACAATAATAAAAATTATCAAACTGATATCTATGGTTACATAATTCACTTTTTAATATCCTGGTTTATAGACGTTTTTTCTTCTCCTTTTGTACCAAATTATTGATACTGTTTGGTGAAATACTTTTCAATATAATTTATCTTTTGAAATATGCAGCAATGCTTCTCTTTGAATTCTTTTTAAAACTCGCTATTTTTAGAGACTTCGCGATGTAGTTTCCCCTAAGTAAAAGAATTTTTCAAATTGATCCATCAAATATGGCGTCACTTTAGTGCAATAAAATAATCAAATTTCGTATTTATATTATTATATTTTAATTAGTTGGTCTTTTAAATTCTAAGCATATTTTTCTTCGTCAATTGAATAAATTTATGAACTGATGGATGTGTTAATTGTTAAGAAAACAGACATACATACGAACACAAATTTTAAGTACAATCTGCATTCTTATCACTAAGAAGCAATTTCCGTCGTAAATACTTTGTTGGTCAATGACAAAGTTTTTATTTAAATTAGATTTAGATTAATTGACAAATGATTCGATTATTGGTATAATGAAATCGATTTATGTAGTGTGCTACACACTACTACTAAGAACAATCTTGATCTTGAATCATGCTCACCTTTGTTTGAAATTTTGCTGATTTGTTAACTTTGTTATCTCAATACATTTGCAAATTGGTGGTATAAATTGAAGTGTGCCCATGCTAACTTTTTTCTTTTGTTATTTGGTTTCCTAGCGTAGGTTCTTTTTGATTTCCTACGTAGGTTTTTTTATTTTACTAAAGAAAATATTGCAAGACTTGGTACCGGCCGGCCGACGTTATAATAATTTCATAAGGTAATTGAGATTTATTAAAACGTTTTTAAGTTTGCTGATGTAACATTTCCAGACTATTATCTAGTTATTTGTTGTTTTATATTTGTTAAGCCACTGTTAATAGAAAATCATGGATACAGAAAATTTTATTAGAAAGATAGGCAGACTTTACCACCTTAATATTTTTATAATATGTATTTAATTTTAATTTAAATCTATTTATCTATACGCCACCCTATAAACAAAGGGATATATGCCATAGACATACATTATCTGAATTAGACTCCTTACATAATATAGTATAAAAAGTTTTTTCTATATTCAAAATCTAGGGCTAGAACACATCTCATCCTGGTTCTTTTTTTAATGTAGAAGCCACCATAGATGAAACATTTTGTCGTTGCAAATCTGGCATACAAAGTTTAATTAACTCAAATAAAATCACATCTTATGTCTGATATGCATTAACCCTTATTACTTAAATGCTGATGATGAATGTGTAGAGTAATGAAAGATGTATGTAAGGACATATATTGTCTCTGCCTACCCTGTCAGGGATATGGCATGAAGATATAGATAGATCAACATATCTTGATGAAGTTACATATACACAGAGTGTAAATCGGTCTAGTTTTATCTGCTCGATTCCAATAGTTCTATTATATTAATACTGTGATTTTTTTGCGAACAGCGAATGCTGTATAAGCAAAACAAAATTAATCACATCAGATTCAGTGGATTCCCGATAAGTCCATTGCCAAATTAAACAAGTTTATCTTGTTTATTAGGTGTTATTATCAAAAATAATTATGACTTATTTTTTATATGTTAATATAAATTTGTTAATTTTCTTCATTTATCTATGAGAAATGTAGACAATCCTTTAAAAATAATATGAGGTACTTACTACTATAGAGGTAATTCATAGTCTCTATTCCACATTGTGGAGGTGACATAAGATGTGAGCTTTATATGCATATTTTGTTTCACAAATATTAAAAACTTATTTAATTGTATGTAACTCTATCAAGCAGTTGCACAAAAATTCATTAAGTTTTAATGATGCCTTAAAGTACTAATTAATGTTAAATATGTATGGGTAATGTTGTTTTAAACTAATAATAATTAAAAAGGCCTGTGTGTAATCTACCTATTTCTGAATGTAAGCGTCTTTGCAGCTTATCTTTTTTTAATTATTATTGTGTGGCCAGTTATTTTATTTTTAGTTGACTCTTTGACTACACTTTAAATTTATTATTTCAGATATAAATAAAATGGACATTACAGTTGGTGATACCAAGTATATAATACCACTAGATGCCATCGACTTGAACTATATTACAAAACTGCCTTTTGGCAATACTCCTGTGCCACTTTGGAGTCAGAATAATAAAGACTACTATGAGGTGAAAGTCTTTGCTCAAAGAAAAGATCCTAATGAAGACAGTAACATAGTTACAAAAGGTAAGTGAAGCGATTCATTAGTTGAAAAATCATTCACTGCTGATGAATAATTAATAGTCAATTACCTTTTTGTATTTATAGTAAGTCACACAATGTCCATTAAGGTTTAATGACGCCTTTAAACTCTAATGAATTTTAAATTTGTATTAGTAGTGTTGCTTTAAACTAATGACAATTTTAATGGACATTTGTGCAACTGGCTGTTAGATCACGACCACAATCTCAGGCCTTCCTTATGGATGGTTAAGGAGGATGGACCATGACATTTCACACTGTATTCACGATAGCAAATTTATTTATTTAACACTTCATGTACATAATGCATTGGCGGACTTAAAGCCTTAGGCATTTTCTACCAGTCAACCAGATGGGTGATATGGAGATAAAAGGTGGTAGTGTGCACATTGTATAGGAGATATAAACAAAGGAAATAAGACCTATAACAAAATACATAAACTTACATAAACAATACATATATACTTTCATAACTACATATACTAATATAATATATAATGTATATATATATATATATATATAATATAATGTAGACGACTAATAGTGTAACGAATTAGCCTGTTCCAATAGAAAGCTACGCAGCTTGTTTTTAAATGTAACTTTGCTGGTGGACATTCTGATGTCCAACGGAAGTTCATTCCACAACAGAATCGATTTAACAAAAAACGAAGAATGGATGGTATCGGAGTGATGCGATGGACACATGTGCCGCAGATTTGAGGAGGAGCGAAGGTTTTTGGTATGAGTGGTACATATGTACCAAAATTGCGACGTGAGATAAGACGGAGCATTCGAAGAGTTCAGTAAGGAAAACAGAGAAGTAAGAGCTCGCATACTTCTTCGCTGTCGAATGGTCATCCATTTTAAGTGAGATCGGTATGCGGACACATGATCATATTTTCTAAGACTAAAAACGAATCGAATGCAGTTATTTAGAAGTCGGTCGAGTTTATTTAGTAGATCTGCATTCAGGTCGAGGTAGCACACATCACCATAGTCGATTATAGGAAATATCAAGGACTGCACAAGCATGGCTTTAATATTGACTGGCAAAAAGGTTTTTAAGACGATAAAGTGCTCGCAGTATTCCAGTCACTTTTTGACAAACACTGCTTACTTGCGCTTGCCAGTTGAAGCTTGAGTCGAGATGTAATCCAAGATCTTTTACACTAGGGCTAAAAGGGATCGAACTACCATCATACATAATGGAGCCATGATTACTGAAGTTAATCTTCTTCATGATTCGTTGCCCCCCCAATATTATAGCTTGGCATTTTGAAGGATTAACAGAGACACCAAAATTATTCGACCAGATTTTTAGAGCTGCTAAGTCATTGTTAAGTCTATCAATAGCATTGTCTAATTCATTGATACTTGCCTCGGTGTATAACTGTAAGTCATCAGCGTACAGATGTTACGAACAATAAAGTTTGTGAGTGACGAAATCAATAAAAATTAAAAAAAGAAGAGGTGAAAGAATGCCGCCTTGGGGAACACCAGTTTCCAGATTGCACCAAGACGAAGTAGACTCGCCAGATTGGACTATCTGCTGTCGCTCCCGAAGATAAGATGAGAACCACGTTAAAACATCGTCAGAGACCATAAGATGAGAGTGCATGGAAAGAAGGATGTCGTGACTAACAGTATTAAAAGCATTGGAGAAATCAATAAGAACGTGACAAGTAATTTTACCGTCCTCTACCGCCGCCCTTACATCGCCAGTCACTTTTAGGAGTGCAGAGACAGTACTATGCCCAGGTCTGAATCCCTATTGCAGTGGATTCAATAGGGAATTCTTCTGAACGAACTGTGAAATTTTTTTATGAACACATGCCTCGTATTGCCACATTCTCAATATTGTTGAGAATGTGGCGACGCTTAGCGTTACGTATCATCTGATTACAACGATTTCTAGCTGTTTTGAATATCTTCCAGTTTTCTTCAGATCGATCTCTTTTAAACTTACGAAATGCGCGATCCCTCTTCCTCATCGCCATCCGAACACACTCTGTCATCCAAGGTGCTGGTGGACGCTTCAGCCTGACTTTTCTAAAGGGTGCATGAACATCATAAAAACCAATCAACGTGTCGTTAAATAATTTGACCTTATCATCAACGGAAGTTGCTTCAATTAAACGGTCCCAGTTGATCACGAACGCTTCCTCTTGCAGCTTTCCTATATTAATGCGAGCGAATGAGCGCCTGTGCAGGATCTTAGGAGAAGATTTTGGACGTTTAAGGAGATAAGAAAGGAAGATAAGGTCATGACGTGAAAAGCCGGGAGCGATATTTGACCATGTGAGGGGACAAGGGAACGATTAGGGGTAAGGATTAAATCAAGCCACGAGTCGTCACCAGAAATGTTTTGGTGAGTTGGTTGGAGGGGCAGTACATGGAGACTTGCAGACTTAACGATATGAAGGAGTTTGCGGGATCGTGAGGATTCGGAAATTAGGAGATTGGTATTGAAATCGCCTATGATGACAAGATGTGCATACTCAGATCCCAAAGATTCTAATACCGCTTCGAATTGGGTGAAATAATCTACAGAGGGGGGACAATAAACAACTTCAATAGCCGCTTTTTCACGGCCTGTCCCAATCTCCAAAAAGAGATACTCAGCTATTGAGCCAGACTCGGAGAAGGCAATTATTTTATACGAGAACGAATTACATAAATAAATACAAACACCACCTCCACCCCGTGCTTAGCGATCATTGCGTATCAGAGTAAAATCAGGGAGAGAGTAGGAAGAAGAAAGAAGATGTGGTTTTAACCATGATTCGGAAATTAGGACAGCGTGAATATTATGCCCAGAGAACACATCCATCAATTCGTTATAGTGGCTTGGCACACTCTGGGCATTGATGTGACATAAGTTCAGTAAACCCGGAGAATCATCAAAAGTCCGACTCAGAAAATCACCACTCAGTTTTTGTTCTGCAAGTGTCAGTTGCAGAGCAAAAACTTTCATTATTGGATGAATTTGCAGATTCATCATCTGCAGAAAAATATTCGTTGTCGTCAAGTGCCATAAAAATATATAATAGATAAAATAAAATAGTATATAAATATGTATCGGGTTGGCACAAAAGTAATGAGACACTTGCTTTAAGTTTTTACTTTTTTATTATTATTACAATAAAAAAAGTTTAGTCAATGATGTAATTACCATTAGTATCTAAGACTTCTTGCCAACGATCCGGCAAAGTTTGGATGCCTTTTGCCCAGAACTCTGATGGCTGTGCCTCGAAAAAGTTGTTCAACTCCGCCTCTACGTCAGAGAAATCATTAAATTGTTTACCCCGCAAATGCTGTTTCAGGGCTCTAAACAAATGATAGTCTGATGGGGCGAGGTCTGAGGAATAAGGTGGGTGGGGTATCGTCTCCCAGCCCAAGTTCTCCAACTGCCGGCGAACCACAGATGCGACGTGAGGTAGAGCGTTATCGTGCAGTAAAACTACACTCTCTTCGTCGTTTTTTCTTGATAACGGCAGATAATTTGGTAAGCTGGGTTGAATATTTGTCAGCGTTTATAGTTTCATTCTGTAATAGCTCATAAAACAGTATGCCTTGCGTATCCCAGAAACAGCAAAGCAGAATTTTTCGGCGGTTCTTTTGACTCGGCTTCGGTTGAGTTGGTGGCGTTTCTTCTCGAGGCAGCCAAAAAGGACGACGTGTATCGTTCTCGTAATAAATCCATGATTCATCTCCAGTAACCAGATCTGACAAAAACTCTACGTCGGGGTCGCAGCAAAAGTGACTGACAGATAGCGACACGGACTGCACGACTGGCGTCTGTAAGGATGTGCGGTACCCACCGAGCCAAAACTTTTCGATAACCAAGCTCATGCAGATGGTGTTCCACGGCGTGGTGACTGCATTTAAGTGCTTCCGCTAATTCACAAGTGGTAGCATCCGGATTCAACTGCAGTTCGCGGCGCAAATCGTCATCATTTACTGCGGGTAGTCGCCCTGAGCGTGGCTGACTTTCAAGGCTCCTGTCTCCTGATTTAAAACGGTCAAACCATCGGGACACCATCGCATGGCTTGTACTTCCAGCGCCTAATGCATTGTTGATATTGTCAGCCGCAGCCCGCGCACTGTGGCCTCACAAGTACTCGTATAAGTATAGTGTTCGAACTTGTTGCTCGTCCATTTTTCTTCAAACTGACTAAACAAATCGCGAGCGCGGCTTTATATACCCTACACCAGAAGTACCTAGAATGTTCTACAACATTCTAGAATATTATCGAAAAAATTGGTTTTAAAAAGGAAATGTTATAGATTTTTCTAGTGTGTCTCATTACTTTTGTGCCAACCCAATAAAAATAATAATAATAATAAAATAAACATTAATTGTGCAGATATTAGTGCTGAAGCGTCTATAGCTCCACACCACCCGCCAGCTTACATTAGTTTATACACACAAAAATATCCAAGTCAAAACATTTAAACAATACATAATAAAATACCTGACCAAATGCTGCCGGGACCAAGGGCTTAACGTGTTTTGTGGTGCAAGTAGCTTGAGATAATAAATTTTTAGTCACCCATCCCGTGACCAACCCTTTTGAAAGTTGCTTAACAACAACGACCGCCCTCAGCCCGCAAAATGCAATATCAAATTTCTGCCCCGGTAGAAAAAGTTGTCGATCCGGGCATGGTTAGTTCACCATTGACTGATTCAATAACTAATTTATGTAACTAGTGTGCTATGCAACGTGTTTTGAGTTCATTTATTTAGACTTTTTTTTTTTTGTTTAATTTGTCCCCCTTGTTTGGGACGGGCAAAGGATGTTAGGTCCATACAGCCCTGCCTGGATTTTCTTGATCTTTTTTTCTTAAATATGGACTTATTCCGTTATACACGGAAATTTTGCTAACATCCAAACTCCTTGTTGAAAAATTGATTATATTAAATACAATACAACAATACAAATACAATAAATCTTAAACCTAATTTTGGTTGTGGATCGCTGTTGCCTGTTTTAGGTAATTAAAACCTGTTTGCACAGGACACCAGGTCCCCACCTCTCAGTGGTAATTACAATTTACGACATAAAAGTTCAAAAATTATACACAAGAAAATAATTACAGACAAATCAAGAAATGTAGTTAAGAGAGCGCGTAAGCTATGGGTCAACCAACTTGATTGGTTTGAACAAAGCAACAACTTCCAAACAAGCTGCAACCAAAAGTGGGCAAAGTGCGTTACATATGTTTGATTATTAGCTGGTTCAATATTAAGAATATGGATATATGTGAGGGTGTATGGATGTACGCATGTTTGTCACTATTTCACGCAAAAACTAGAGAAAGGACTTCGATGAAGTCTATAATGCCAATAACCAGTATCGATCACACCAAGGCGACAAGTAGTGACTCAGTTTGTGCATAAGACTGTTTAAGAAGCCAATCTCTGGTAACCACTTTAAACGTATGACGATTTAGGGCATAGAAAGATAAAAATTTGTTCAATTTGTTATAAAGATGTGGTCCATTAAAAACAAAAAATCTCTGGGCAAAAGATGTATTCATTTTTTTTGTTGTGACTACTAGATTTTCTTTACTCTTTGATTTTCATAGGAAAAGCTTTACTTATTACCATTGTCTTAGTACTACATAAGAGGACTTATCATTCTGAAAATTGTCATTACGAAAATGAACTTAAATACTATTGAGTAATAAATAATAAAGTGTACTTTTCATGTGCCGTCTACAGAAGCTAAATCGAGCCGAGAGAGATAGTCATAACGGAGGCCGTGTGTCTCGTTCTTTCATCTTGCCATTATAAAAAAATATAGTTGATCAAAAATTTTAACTAAAATAACCTTAGTGGAAATACTTCTATTAATGGTAACTATTTTAAAAATCCAAGTCATTATATAATCACATTAATTTCGGTAATATTAAATTACCAGCTTTCCGCCCGCGGCTTCGCTCGCGTGGTATTCTGTTGTGATCGTAGTTCATCCCCTTTAAGCCTATTTTTTGCAATAAAAGTATTACTTTTTCCTTTCTCAAGATCGACTCTTATTTGTGTCCGAATTTCATTGAAATAGGTAAAAACGTAACTCACATAAACACACGGACTTTTGCATTCATATTAGTATTTGTTTATTAACAAAGTCTCATCCTTTTATGTTTCCTTAGAATAATTGACGTAGAATATGCTTGGCAAAATATTAAAAGTCAATTAGCATGGTGCTCTTGGTTGACTGCGAGACGTTCTTCTCTCTGATTAAATGTTTTGGACTCGCGAGACATACCACGATGTTCATTGTCGAATATGACACGTTCTTTTCGCTGAGTAAAACTCGGACTCGAACTCGCGAGACATAGCATGTCGTTCATGGTCCGTTGTGCTAGGTACTTTCTTCACATTGAGTAAATGTCTTAGATTCGCGAGACATAGAGTGACGCTGACAGTCGACTAACGCCCGGTTTCCGAATTGAGAATTTGAAGTTGATCACGTCTCAAACCGTGCTTAAGCCACTTTAAATGTCATTTGAACATGTTTTCATTGCTGATTTATAAATTTTTAATTATCAGTTGATAGCAATTTGGTAAATCTAATACTTTTTGCCATATGAAAAGTAAAAAATCTTAATTTATTAAGAATAATCAGTTGAGATACTTTCTCAATTCAGTAACCGGCCGTTAGACGTACTTTTCTCTGAGTAAATGCGTCAGAAACGCGAGACATAGCATTATGGCTTACGGTCAGTTATGATGATACTTTCTTCACGTTGAGTAAATATTTTTTAGACTATAATTATGGAATTTAGCCGGTATTTCACTGTTAATGCTTTCACCGCGTGGCGGTACTTCCATTATATGTTTTCAATATGTTATTGTAAGACTTATTTAATGTTTGTTAATACCATGAGAAAAATATAGTATTAAGTCAATGATAACTAAAGCTTTTTCTATGAAAGTCATAGGTATCAAAGAGTAAAGTATATAAACAATTTTTCAACAAGGAGTTCAAGTTCAAGGAGAGAGAAAGAACAATCTCAAGGAAAACTTTAAATGGAACTTTAAGCTGTTGAATAAAAAAAGAATTATGAAAATCGGTTAACAAATGGCGGTAATATCGGTGAATATATAAACGGCAATAGTAACGCGTATTAGGTGTTTTTTTTATTTTTTTTTATTATGGCTACTTTAACGTTTCGAGCGAGCCCAATAGCGGAGTGGTTAGCGAGCTCGGTCTGCCATACGGTTGTTAAGTAAATGTATTATCTCCAGCTCTTCTGTGCTTCGGAAGGCACGTTAGGCATTTTTTTATCTCACTTCTGACACCAAAAAGTCACGACTTAGGATTCGAATAAAAAATTTACACCAATTATAGTTTCACAATCCGACTTTATTTGACACAAAACAATCACAAAAATAATCCAACTACAAAATTCACACTCCAACTTCGCTATTTCACGTCTCTAATAACACTTCACAACACTATTGGATCGTTCACCGCTCTAGTTATAGCTTCGAGTTTCGCTTCCAATCGCCTTTGCTTTCAAATCACTTGTTCACTGAAGAATGTCGGGACGGGTTGTCCACCGCTTATTAATAAGGGCCGATACCCACATCTAGAAAGTTCTAGATTAGGACCTAGAACATTCTAGGTGTATTCGAGGCATTTAAAACAATTTAAATCAACAACAGTCCCTTTCTTCTCTAGTGACTGTGCCTTTTTCGCCGACCCAATGTATACCAGATATGTCACAGATAGTTTCAACAGTGTTAGCGCGATTCATTGGCACATAACGCCATCTAGTAATGCGTAGACGAACCGCTCCGCTGCGCTCCATAACAATATGTTTATCTCCGCTGCATCTGCAATCATTAACAGCCATCAATAAGCATGGCTTATTCTAGGGAGAATGGAACGGAAGACCTGAGCACCAGATACATTAATAGGCCGATGATTATGAGACATGGTTCTCCTTGGGGACTCTTCGATTTATTTCTTGTAAATTAAATATTGCTTGCTATCTTAACTGGTGCTCAGCCGCAATTGAAAGGTCACTCAATTCTACCAATAAACATTGGCAACACGTAACAATCGCAATTCAACAGAATATCAACTACTTGCATTTTGCCTTTGTTCTATACTGAGGTCCAATATTATTAGTGCAATGTTCTCCTGACACACCAATGGTGACAGATATATTTATTACTAGCTGTGTCCGCGACTTCGTACGCGTGGAAAGTCCCGTCAAAATAGCCGTTTCAGAGATTAGCCGGCACAAACAGACAGACTGACAGTAAATGTGAAAAATGTTATTTTGCTATATTGGAAAATATTTTTAATAAAAAAATGTTTGGAAATCCACCACCCCAAGTACTCTGAAGGTGGGACTCGTATCCACGATTTCGAGTCCCACTTCAGATCTTCGAACACACGAAGGATTTGATAAATTTCACCCCTAAGGGGATAAAATAGGGGATGAAACTTTATTTCAGGTTTTTTTACACGATATATTGAATAAATATTCGTTAGAAATGCTGCTCAGAGTAACATTACCACGCGAACTAAGTCGTGGGCAAAAGCTAGTAGACAATAAAGTTGAGGAATGTAACTTTACGTCATTCCTATGTATAAAGGTGTGACGTTATGCGATATTTCAATTCGATGTATCGCCGTATTGATAAAAAAGTATTTAATATTCTTTAATAATAATTTACCTGACGGATAGACAAAATTTAGTCATCATCTCTAACGGGCTTGGCTTAACATACCGTATAATGCCCGAAGTTAAGATAAATCAGGAACTTTTTTATTTTAACAGATGCCCACCCAACTTCTCCCACGTACCATTGCTACATCTGCAACGTGAAAGTCCCAACGGTATACAAGAAAGAACATATAAACGGTACCAAGCATAAAACCTCTCTAAAAATCATTGAAACCGCCATGGACAGAGCTAGACTTTGTGTAACGCAACCTCACGACGATAATAATTATGTAAAACCTTTGAATACGTATTTCTGTGAACCGTGTGCTACTGAAGTGGAATTAAAAAAAAGAAAAGAACACGAACTGTCTAAAGAACATTTCAAATCAATAACGTATGATACATTTCTGAATGATCTACTTAAGATATATCTTGACAAAGAACTGTTAGATACTATAAATTTCGGCTACATGACAAGTGAAAATGATAATCAAACAAGACTCTCTGACAGTGAAAAGGATGATAATGAGAGTGATTCCGATGTATCAGAAGGTGATGATAACGCAGCTAAAGAGCTTAATGATTTTATGGATCTAATGAAATATCTTAATGAGGTTGACACAACTAAAAAAGGGATAGAAATTGAAAATAAAAATATTACAACAGATAAAGCGACAATTGTATCAGGTAGCACACAATCGAATAAAGTCGAATCGAAGAAAGTTAATCTAAAGGAATACTTACAAATTTTGATTGGTAATGGCAATTCGTCTTTGTCTCCAAAATTAACGGTTAGTGGTGGTTGTGTGAAAATTGAAGTAACAGATGGAAGTTTGCTGATAGTTTCCGAAGACAATTTCCATGGATTCTCCAGAGATCATGATAATAAGATAACATTTTGTAAAACATGCAGTGTGGCGATTGATGACGAAGACACTCACAAGATGATGGCGGAACACATGAAGCGGGTTATGACCCCGATACAAGACATGAATGGCATAAGAGAGGTAAAACTTATTCTATTATATATCTTCTTTAAAATATTATAATTTAAAGTAGTTTCATATTGTTGACGGCTTTGTAGGAGCATTCCAAAATTGTGTCCCTCGTTATAAGACAGATCATTATTTAACTACCCGACTGCGGCGAAGCGAAAAAAGGGTAATGATTTTGGCCGGTATATATGTATGTAAGAATGTTCATCTGTTATAATTTACTAGCTTTCGCCAGCGGCTTCGCCCGCGTGAACCCTAGAGAAATGTTTAGTGGGATAAAAGTATCCTATTATCTAAGTCAGCTAATACCCTATCTGTATACCAAATTTCATCTAAATCCGTTCAGTAGTTTCGGCGTGATTGACCGACAAACATCCAAACATCTAAACATCCAAACAAAGAAACTTTCGTATTCATTATATTAATAGGATAATAACTTATAACACCCTTATAACTTCGAAACTACTTATCGTAACTGGACAAATGAGTGAACTAAAATCATTAGGCTATGTGGCGTTTTATTAAATTGGCAACAGCGCTCTCTAGAGAGCATAAAGTAAGAAACTAAGAAATATTCCGTTCCGTTTCCATTCCGTGTAGGGTATAAAATAAAAGGGCTTAATTAGCTTATTTCGAATAATATATATTTGAAATGTGCTTATTTAATAGCTAAGTGGTATATTGACAGATTTTGCTAGCGATTTTGCTTAAAAACACCCGAAAATTTATTGAATGAAAAGATAAGTTCAAAAACGAAAATCAGACTACAGCTAAATCGCGCTCTAAAAAGTTTGAAATAAGAAATAATTTTATAGCTATAACTATATTATAATAGACCAAAGGGCAGCGTAGTCGTATACCACTAATTAGTCACACACTTAGTTCGGACGTATGCCACAATTGTCTAGCTAGAAAACCAGTGTTTCTCAAAATTTTTTCCTAACTCAGTAAAATGACGTGCTGTTATGACAGTTTTAACGATGAAGTATTCTGCAAGGGATGTAACAGACATTTGGATTTTGTTTGCGCTAACATAGGTGAAGTAGGATATCGAAATCTGGGCCGCGACCATCAGGTCACATGGAGATGTCCACAATGTAAAATGACTGGCTTCAAAAGCACTCCGAAAACATCCCAGACCTTCTACATCTTTTGATATCAACACACTTGTTAAAAGTTCTAGCGATATACCCTTAGGTACAGTCACGCTTGAGGCACTGTTTCAGTAACTACAAAGTATGTAAAAACATATTTCTAAAATACCAAGTCTCGTACTTGCTGTGGAGTCGATAAAAAATGAACCTTCTGATCTTAAATCCTCCTTTGAGTTGAACAGTTCTTAGTGGAATAAATTAGAAACTAGGCTCACTGAAATTGATCAAAAGTCTTCTGATATTGACAATGTGAGCATCTTCAGACTTAAGCGAGAAAGCGCTTCAAGAGATCAGCGGTGAAGACTTAACAAAATCGAAATCAAAGGCGTCCTTAAGTGGGCAGTAAAAAGAGATGAAAATCTATTCCTTATATTGAAGAAATTGTCAAAACTCTAACTACTTGTTTCCTAAGACCCAAGTAAATTGCATTGCAAGAGTTCCTACTTATGATGCTAAGAATTGTTGTGAGTTTGATAAACCAGAATGTAAAAACAAGAGTGTGGATGCAGTGCGCTTGTAAAACTTGAAAAACTTGATCTCGGCTATGGTGACATGAAGGGTCATGAGACAATAAAAGACGGACTGTATACTATAGCTGCTGTAGTAAATCGCGATGTTGTTCGTTCGTGCGGTCGTCTCACAGCCAAGAAGTCAAGGAGTCATGTGGGGCTGTGGTGACGTCGAATGTTGTTCGTAAGACGTCAGGCCAGTGCCGACGTCGCCGTCGTGTCCCTTGGAGTGAGAAGCCGAGCGTGCCTCACGTCAGAAAAAATTACACTCCGCCGGTTATGATTATTGACAAGGAATCGGATTTAAAGATAAATATTTATCTCTTAAAAAAATTACTTGATTTAATTTATTATATTATTTTGGTGTTTGAGAGTTTAGTCACAAGATTGACAACCATTGTCTTGCTTGTTTAGTTCACTATTGTGTATGTCATTAAAGTTGAATAGAGCACTTTGCTTGCTCATGCGCGCTGATTGTTACACTTACTATGCTGCTTGCACTTACGCATTATTTGTTTGTTATCTACCGGCCTTGATACCCGGTTTCACTACCATAGAACAAGGCATAACAACATAGCTTATCTAGAAATTGCTAAATATTTATAATAGCATAAGCAGATTTGTCGTTTAACCAAACCTGTAATGTTATGTAATGCCTTATAAAGCGCTTGCTTAAATAGGCAACGTTTGACTATGATTTTGCATGCTTTAGTTCTTCTTTTTCTTTAATGTATTGCGTATTTGCGTATACACAATTCCGCCTATGTCACGTTAGTGGCATTTACACGTAAAGAGACAATAACAACAATATATATCTTGAGGTAATAAAATACAAAAAATTATACGTGGTCTTGTATTTACACGAGCACCCAAGTCGTCATTGTCCATATAAAAGTCCGAAAATTCAATAAAGTCTCATTGTTTATATCTTAATTCTAATATATAAACTCCTTGATTCCAACTTACTGAATTGATTTTATCCCTTGACACATTCGTTATGGGAAAAGAGTAAATGTATCTGTCACATTACGCAAATGCCCAGCGCTAGGCGCCCATTGGCGTAACTAGGGATTTTTCCTAGGAGGGGCCATGGCCACAGCCATGAATCTTGTTGATAATGAAGTTATTTTATGTATTAGTGAGGGTATTTTTTTGGGTGGTTTCGAACGAACGCAGCTTTCGAACGTGGGCCGGGCCCACCATGCCCCCCCCCCACTAGTTACGCCTATGTAGGCGCCGCACAATGCATGTCCCACTATAAACGTTGTTTAATGTTCTTGGGTGGCTCCTTATCTTTGGTGAAATGCATTTTTACCTTTGCATTACTCAAATATTTAGGTGTCGGGTTTGGGCGACTCCTAAGTGTAACATCGCTTCATAACTAGTTATTCCCTAGTAACCATATTGGCTGGCTTAATTATGAACTGCACGTGCAGTTAGGGTTGCCAGATGGTCGGGATTCGTCTGGATTGTCCAGATATTTCGTATGAGGTCCAGAGTCTCGAAAAAAAATATAATAAATAGGTATATTATCTGTTTATATGTTTTATTATACATGCCTTATGTTTGGTACCAAAACTCTTGGGGGTCTTCGCTCAAAAACTAATTTATTTACCGTAATGTATGTTCCAATTCATTTGACTTAATTGTGATTACATAAACATGGTTAGTATCAATGATATATTAAACAAAGATACGTTACGTTCATTCATACTAATTTGCGGTAATATCTGTGCCGCGTACTCTAAAGCTGCACACATTGATAAGTTTCACGTATAAATCGAATGAAAGAGATGAAACATCCAGCCAGCGCGTAAATCAAAGAGACGGACTGATTGCAAGACTTGCCAATTGGCAAGTATTCGAGGCTTCATTCACTATACGCGCGCTTATGACGTATCTGCCTCTTTTTATATAATATCACTAGCTTTTCGCTCGCGTGGTCTTTTATTATACATTAATATTATTACGTTGATACAACTCTTAACAAATAATGCTTTAATTTCGACCAAATTTGATTACCATAAAAACGGTTCTAGTGAGTTAATCTTAAAAGATAGACATATTTTGTCCAGGACATTTTTTTTAGATCATTTCAAGAGGAATAATTCTTTCATACATATATTTTTGGTATCTTGAACCGTTTTCGCAGCGCACGCAACGGAAGCCCTCAAAAGGATGAATAATTTTCCACGGTTTTTTCAAATTTTCCATTATTTCTTAGTTCCCAATAATTGCAGCGTGATGTTATATAGCCTAAAGCCTTCCTCGATAAATGGTCTATTCAACACAAAAAGAATTTTTCAATTTGAACCAGTAGTTCCTGAGATTAGCGTGTTATAACAAACAAACAAACTTCAGCTTTATAATATTAGTATAGATTGGTTAGTATAAAGTGTTTTAGAAGGTGAATCGTTTGACGCTCGATATATAGTTATTACCTTGCAAATAAACAAAAAACATGAACTACCCAGCTTTAGAGAGAGGACTTCGTATAACTACATAGTATAAAACAAAGTCGCTTTCTCTGTCCCTTCAACCCTATGTATGCTATAATCTTTAAAACTACGCAACGGATTTTGATGCTGTTTTTCATAGATATGGGTGATTCAAAAGGGAGGTTTTTATGTATAATACAAGACATAATAATAATAAAAATATAATATACACATACACAAAATAAGACAACTTTATAAATGTTATATTATTTTGCAATAATATCATTTGTATAAATTTCATTGAATGATTTGTTGGTTGAACCTATTCGTTGTAAAACAAACAAACAATAACATCTTTCCCTTTTTATAATATTATTATTATAGTATAGATTTGTACAGTGACGTATTTGGTTTAGTTAATATTTAGATTCGTCAGTCCTGTAAGGCTAATTAAAATGTACAATCAAATACTGAATTACATTAAAGAGCTCGAAGAAACGAAAGCTTTTGAATATCAGTTGAAAAAATTTCTTATAAATAAAACCTATAATAGTGTCTCGGAATTCCTTGAGGATAAAAACCCTACCTAACTAAAATATAATAATATAACTTCTCATTAATAAATTAGGACTAATTATGCATACTTTACAATTAATATTATGTAATTGAAATATAATAATGAAAGAAATAATTATAAATTAAACTTACGAGTAAGTATATTGTAGATACCTATTTGTAATTAATGAAATATAAACTATTACTAGGCTAGTTGACAACTTTTTTTTTATTTCATAAATAAATAGTCCATTAACATCTGAGAAATAATGTCGAACTAAATACATGTCTGCGATTAATAGTTTCGGAGATACGGAGCTGTGTTTGTAGAACTGCTGCTAGTTGGCCGAAAACGC